GTGTAGTCATCCAGACCAATGCAAAGAGACAGCAAAATGCTGCAAAATCAGAATAGAAGAGTATTACTCTCACTTTGCATTGGCGTAAATCACTACACGAGGTATAGAGAAAGAGAGAATCAGGTCCCAGATTTCCTGTGTCAACTAAGAAAAGTATTGAATCAAAGGGGTAGCCATGTTAGTCTGGATCTGTAAAAGCAGCAAAGAGTCCTGTGGCACCTTATAGACTAACAGACGTATAGGAGCATGAGCTTTCGTGGGTGAAAGATAAGTATTGTGGCTCCAAACTTCCTTCCTTTTGTCAGGACAATACTATACAGTAATTGTATGTTTTTAAAGATTGTTTCTGTTTAGTGCTTCAACTACATCTTCCATTTGATTGCTAAACATGAAGTTCAGGCATTCTTTAGACTCACCAAACAAAAATAATAATCCAAGGAATAAGCCCAGACAGAGCAGGTTGATTTATTTAAAAGTATCCCTTATATAAAAATATTTTCTGTGTAAAAATAAAAAATAGATTATCCATTGGCAATGATCAGTTTGCATTGCATTGCCAGCAGAAACTAGGCCCAAGGTGGTTGTAACCAGCACAGAGAAGCTCATCCTTGGTACAAAGGTGATTCTCTGGTGGTGTAGAGTTGGTATGGGGCTTCTGATCTCATTCCATATCCCTGCTGCCAGCATAACAAGAAAAGCTGTCCAGAAGAATGAAAGTGTAGCTGAGACACTCTACTCTGGTCAGATCTCCTACTGCAGTTTCAGCTTCATGTGGTCATTTGCACAACTAAGAGCACTCTGTCAACCATGCACAGAGTTAGCATCAGGATCCAGCCAATAGAGAGGGAAACTTTAAATCATCTTTGGACACACACCCTGACATGAGTGCTATCCAGTTCATCCGGACATTAGGATCTTAACTTACAACTTGGCTCGGCAGGATTTTTAAGAGCCAAATCATAGACCAGTGAGTGTGGCCACATAGGTGAGAAATGGAGAGTGAGGCAACCCAACCCAATACTCCTGCATATCCTTACAGGATCTGGGGTCCAGTCAGGTAGGGATAAGCAGGTTCAGTACACCCACTAGGTAGCTCTCTCCCATTCAGATGGGCATGGAATCTACATTCTGTCTCCCAGTGCACCAGCCAGTACAGCTGAGCAGGTGGTGGGAGGTGGGTAGTAAGCTACTGCTAGTATTGTGTAACTTCTGCCATGGAACACGGTGGAAGCCATGGATGGAATCATAGTTCCTAGCTATGTGCCACTCCTTACACAGGGCAGGCAATAAAACTACAATCTAGCCATTATTTATATTTGCCCATTTGTTTATCATCAAATGTAAAATATACATCTAAACTAAGGAAATTCATTGTGTCTTGTCATTACCTCTGTGTGATCTGCAGAGCCTCTCAAGCAAAGCTGATGGCATTGACTGCTCCTCTATAAAAGCTTTCTAAAAACAGGAAAACATTTGTACCTATTCAGAATTAGATAGCTAGTATACCAATGAGTTCTATGAAAACATATGTGGTTAGTAGGCTACTTTAAAAGAAGTGTGCTTGTAAAATATGTTCTTTTAAAATCTCTTTCCATTGCCACAATTCTCTGGACAAAATAACCAAAAACTTGTTGTTTCTGAGATTGAACTTTGTATCAGCCTACTTCCTGTCTTACTAAACCTGCCTTCAAAATATAGGCGGTTGTATTTCTCATAGCAGCAGTGCTCCAGTAGAGCAAAATCAAACTGTCCCCTGCCAGACCCATGTGATGAGTAATTTCTTATGGGCATTAATGATGGAGAGCTAGTCACCTCTAGGTTGATCTTGAGGTTGAAAAAGCCTCCACTGGATGGAGTGCATCTACAGTAACTCAAGGCAAAGCCATAGAGAGGTGCTGACCTTAAGCTTCAAGACAAGCAGCAAAGCAGTAAGCCTAGTACATAACCCACATTATTTTCAATGCCATCAAGTTGCAGCTCCAACAAGCAGTTTGAAAGCTCCTAAAACAGACCTTTCTTCTTCATATGGACCATAGCACGTAGGTCACTAAACGTTTTTGCCCTTTCCATTCAATGGTCAGAAAACTATAGATATTCCCCTTTATGATCATGGTTGGGGAATATATTTGAAGGGCCCAGTTTATTTGTTTGGTATGTCATTCCCTAGCTATCTTGCCAACATGGTTGATGGAATGAAGAGAGTCCCCTGTTTGTTTGGAATACTTCATACCATTGATTGGTGGACTACCTTCTTTTTACTGCCAGTAGCTGCCCTTTTAAGGTTATTTCCTGTGGGGAATGGAGTTAGTTCACGAATCATTCAGGGGAGAGTTGCCTCCAAAACATAAGAGCATACTAGTGCCGAGAAACCTCTGTAAATATTAACCATATCAGTTGCTCTATACCATATAACAACTGCACTGGGTAGTGTCACAGAGGGAACACAGAATGCTTTTCATAGCATCTATTGCATAGCCTCCAGAAAGGTATGATAGTTGGTTGGGGTTGATAGTTGAGAGGGCTGATAGGGGGTTGATAGTTGAGAGGGCTGAATTTCCCTTGAAGAATTGGAATTCCAGTGAACAAGGGTTTCCTTTATACCAGTTACTTTTTCTGTGCCAAGTCCATTCAGGTAAGCAGTAATAAGTAATCTATTATTTGCTAGTCAATAACACTTGGATTTCCTGACCTTTTATTTATCTAGATTGGAGATGTAATAAATTATACAGGTTTGGATTAACACTGCCATTTTTAAAATTATACTGTTGTTGTTTCATTTTACTCTACTCTCCCCAGTCAAGTTTATTTCCTAAACTTTCTGTTTTCACTCTGACAAGCTCATTTATGCTAGATACACTTCTTAGAACCAAGAATTTAATCTAACTGAATTATAGATACTAATGGGAAAGTCAAAGTCAAAGTCAAAGGCAGTTCAGATAGGACAAGGCACTGCTTCTCTTTAATTGATACTTGATCTATAAGAAACTGGTGTAAGTTTGGGATATATCAAACATGGAGTCAGCCTCATCTTTTAACCTCAGTTTTCATTATGTTGCATTGTAACCCAATATGCAGGATGCAGTGTGATGCAACAGGCTACAGTTTGTGAAGAGGAATCAAGAGAATTCTTTTTTCCCCCCAACGGCACTGTAGACTGCCTCATGTTATAAATAAAGTATCCAGATGAAAAAAAAAATTAGATGAGAAAGGATTAACAGTATCCTTGAACTGGTAGATTCAGTCTAATTACTCTAATTTAATTTGGGCAGTTTGACACATCTCTAGTTGAACCATAGCTTAAGGGAAATAATTAAATAAGGGTTAGAGGGAAGTAATAATTTCTGAAGAAGGTGCTGAACGTCTGCAAGATCAGTAGCTCCTTAGAATATCCTACCGCATAAAAAGTTAAACTTGTGTAACTAGAAATCTTCATGAGTTTGGCCCCTTCTCAATGACATCTGTAATTTCTGGATCATAACAATTACTTAGTTCAGAGTTAATTGGTTTTAAGTCTTAAATCCTAATGCAGTGTTAAGTCTTCACATACAGCGATTGTAGTTTAACCCCTACATTTCTTTTACATATTGCAGTATTTCTTGGCTCTTTTGTTGTAACTAGATCAAATTTTCTTTCTAGTATCACCCAGGAGAATAAATGGTAGTGGCCTTAATTGTTTCATTGATCTCTAGATACTTATTCAACCCTAATTCCAGCATTATTCATCTCAGAACTGCAGAAGGCCAAATTTTTAATGATATTTAGGCACCTAAAGATGCAGATAGTGCCTAGTGGGGTTTTCAGAAGCACCGAGGTGTCTAACTCCCAATTCCCAGTAGTCATCTATCTTTTGATGTTTATATACCTTTAAAATTCTTGCTCTTAATTACTAGTGTAGAAGTTAGTGTCAGTAAACGGGCTGGGTTTTACAACAAAGTGAATTCAAGGATCTGTCCTAGACTGACGACAATTGTAACGTGTTCTGTAGCTCTTCAGGGCAGCTAAGAAGCTTTTACAACAGTTTCCATGCAGCTTTTTGTTTTACTGTCTAGCTGAACGTCACCTTTTTGACAATAAAATATATAGAGGGCATCAGTATTTCTCTCATTGTCATTAACTACAGTGAGAGATGACAAATATCTTGAATATAGATATATGAATGATACCTATATAACCAAGAGAGATTACAGTACTTTTAATATTATTGACTTACTCCAGTGTTCCCGACTTATCTTTCCACAGTTGTTCTAGTTAAAATAGTCTGACAGTGAGAATCAGTTTGACATTTTTCTTATCTTCAGGCATGCTGTATAACTATCTATAAACTTATAAGATATTTTGAGAGTAAGAATCTGTTTCTACTACCATATTCCCTTATGGCCCCCAATATGTGTATTTTACAGGACCTAACACAAAGGGGTCCCCAGTCTCAGCTGGTGCCTTTGGGTGCTACCATGATACAAGTAATTAATAATTTTTAAATTCCATTTCTTTCTAAATCATAATCTAGTATATATGCAAAAATGTTTGCAAAACATGGGTGGAGCTGAAGTCTATTTTTAGTCCGTATGTGATTTGAAAACTAATGAATAAACTGTATTTCTATAGTTTACAATTCAAAACATGGCTAAAATCTCAGAAACCATGATTAGCTATCCCTAGATGATATTTCCATTTTGATGTGTCCATATTATTTCATACTCTCTGTCCCTCCTTTCATGTAGAAATAGAGCTTCTCCTGTTTTTCTCTTTCATATAAGAACAAATGAGAGGCTATATAAGGAAGATGCCCAAATGTAACTGTCAATAGGTGTCAGTATGATGGAGTGCAGTACTTTTTAGGCTGTGGCTAAAAGCTTTGTGTCATGCAGTGATATATGAATAATCTCTGGCTGTGTGGACTTTTTATAAACCAAAAGTAAAACTGGGAGTGTACTGTTTGCTGTCTGTACTATTCATGTTTTTGTGGTTTTAAGCTAATTATTTTTCTTTTTTTTTTTAAGTCAATTGACCCTGGCCAGCAGTTCACGTGGGAGCATTCTAACCTGGAAGTAAACAAACCAAAGAATAGATATGCAAATGTGATTGCATATGACCATTCTCGTGTTCTACTTTCAGCAATAGAAGGTAAGTAGCTATTTAACAATTTAAACTCATTAAATATTAAATGCTAATGTAATAATTTTACCACTTCTTGTCAATTAAATTAATAGCTTTAAATTCATGTAATAATCATCCTTTTTCAGTGTTCATTTGCAGTAATTCAATAACCTGAAGCATTAAAAGCTAGACAAGGTCATATATAGCAAGAGGGAAACTTCTTACTCAACACATCTGCTCCTTGTGTGTATGCCAAGTCTTATCTACTTACTTTTTTGATAAAAAAATGTTGCTACTTTTTTACTCCTAACAGCACAACTATTAGGGAGTGTGAGATGGTTTCTTGTCTGGCTCTCACATTATCAGTATAATGGATAACTCATTTTTATTTGCCAAATCTTTAATGATGCTGATAACACACGAGCCAGAAAGAACAGAGCTTGGCTTTCTCGTCTCAGACTGACTATGCAGAACTGGCAGTTAGAAAACCCAATTTTTTACTTGTAAACTAAACACATTTTTTTGGAAGTCATTGACAGACAATAACTGAATTTCAGGTACTTGTGTTACTGGAAACTCAAATGTTGTTACCTGTAGATGGACATGGTAGTATAAATTACAAGGTTTTAGTTGTAGCTGTCTTTGACAGACAGTTTTGCAAAGATCTGATCATGTAGTGTGCTTCCCTGTGGTGAGTGAACTAGGCTATCCAAGATGATGGGCTCTATACAGTTTGTGTAGTTTCCCAAGTGCTAAAACAACAGAAGTAAAGATTATCCATCAGAAGATTTTTTTCACTGACTACCTCTCACTACCTACCCAAGCTGTTTCTTGGAATTAAGGCAGATTTTCAGTTTATTCTACACAGCTGGCCACCATGTATTAGTGATGTCAGTAATATAATTGATTACATATTTAAGTGGGACCATTTAAATGAAAATAAAAATTGCCTTTAGTAAGCTTTGATAGATCTTGTATATTGAATTGGCTTTAAAATTAAAGAGGACTTTCAGTCCTTGTATCTTGTATGCAAAGACATAGTTGCTTCATTCTTAACATTCTATATGTTAAATTGTGCAGTGTTTTAATCTACATTGTGAACACCTTATCTTTGGCTACTCCAAACCTGCAGACATGGGATATAGTAGTGACGGTATTTATAGGTGTAATCAATTCTCTAATATGCTATGCACAGCCAAGTAAATGCTCGGTGAAGGAAAACACAATTCCACTGGTTGAGCTTTCCCTCTTTGCCTAATTTATTGCAGCTGCATATTGTACGCTTTGATAACACAGACACAGTTTCTCAAGTATATTAGAAAATTTAAATGATTGCCTTGAAAAATTTGCATATAATAATCATCTTACATTTGTTCCACCTATGGAGCTCATTTAACTGGTATTGACTAAATTTTTCAGTGGTGTCAGTTACATTTCCTCACATTACTTTATAGAAATATCTAGCTGAACACCAACGAGTTTACTAAAATTAGAGTTGTCTCTGTTGTTGGTTAGATTCTCATGCTGTTGCTTTGTCGTAGTTCAGCACACAAAACAACAACAACTTCATAAAGAGAGGATAGGTAAATAGTATAAAAACCAGCCAAACAAAAACCAAACCACTGTGCAGTGATGCTTTTCTGAATTGTTTACCATTTTCTCCAAAGTACATTTAAAGTCACAAGTAAACTAGTTCTAAAGCAAGGAAAATAATTTGTCACTGTATGTTGGCTGGGAAGAGAGTTGAGTAACTCAAAAGAGAAGAACATTTAATTTCAAATAAATCCATTTGTTGACTCATAAGTGAATTAAGAGATGACTGGGTTTGAAAAGGCCTGCCAGATTCCCCTTAACAATTGACCCTGGAAATTAACATGTTTTGAAGATGTGATCAAAATGTGAAAAAGAAAAAAAAACCACAGAAATAACACTCAGTTAAACAAGATTAATCAAATTACCCAGTAGACTAACTTTTTAAAATAAAAATTATGAGAATAAAAGAAAAGTTCTAAATAATACTTTTGCAAGTATAGTATTTGCAGAAAAGGATTCTACCTGGTAAAGAAATACTTAAAGGGATTGAGAAAACATAAATGCTAACTGTAATGTTTGATTTCCCTTTTTAATGGCATAAATAACCTGAGGAGGTTAAAGTGACTAACTCTTTAAAAATGCTATTGATCCTAAATGCATAAAACATAATTATAGCCATATAAAATACCAGTGATAGGCTTACACGCACACATAGCTTTTTGACTCAACCTGGTGATTTACCTACCTTTATAAACTTTTCAGGCCTCAGTTTACGACAACCAAAGCAACATAAATTGAAATGTTTGCTTGTGTTAAAATGACTTAACTTAAAATAAGCAATATGCTAACAATTTAACTCCCGGTTTCTGAAGAGATTTTCTATTGATATATGTCTGAGTTCTTTTATGTATCTAACTTGCTAAATTTAATATACTGGCTTAACATTGTATAATAAGTGTTTCTTTTTCAAGCGTCAATACTTCATTACACTGTTTTGTCAGACTATAAATAAAAATAAACATTCCTGGTAGGAAAATACACAGGCTACCTAGTATTTCATTTGACAGCTGCATTTGTTTTCAAGCTGCCATGGAAATGAATGCTTTTATATTGTTACAGGAATATGTTTCAGAGTGGCACTATCCACATAGGTCAGGCCCAGCAGCTGGACTATATTGCATTTGTTATAACCACATGAGAATCATTGTTCACTATTTTAAATACCTTTGGGCCTCATCCAAAGCTCACTGAGGTCAATTGAAAGACTCCCATTAATGTCAATGGGTTTTGGATCCAGTCCTGTGTTCTTTCTAAAATTCTCTATTGAGAAATCTATCCAGCTACAAAACAGCACCCCATCCCCAAATAATAACATCAGGTGCTTAGAACGTCTCAGTCAGACGTGTGTTTTGTATTTTGCAACTGTAGTACTTAACAATCTATCTAGGTATGGTGACCCTCACCTCTGTAATGTTTGAGGACCTCACAAACATTAATGAGTTTATCATTCCTGTGAAGAACTGAAGTACAGAGAGATTGAGTGATGTGCCCAAGATCACAAAGGGAGAGCCAGGGATCTAACTCAGATCTCCCGAGTCCTAGTCCAGTGCCTAAACAAGCACTATTTGCACAACTGTGATAGCTTTGTTATTGATGCTGTTGCACAAACAAAGAATATAGAAATTGCCAGACTGAAGTGGATCCAAGATCCATCTAGTCCAGTATCCTGTCTCTGACAGTGGCCAGGACCAGATGCTTCAGAGGAAGATTTAAGAACCCAGCTGTAGACAGATGTGGGATAATCTGCTTCCCTCATCTCTAAAAGTTAAAAATCGACTTAAGGCCTAAATAAAGGGGTTAAAGATCTCTTCCAAAAGTTTTATTAGCATTAGCTGATGTATTCTTGTTATACCTTTAAACATCCAGTCCCTTTTTTGAATCTTTCTAAGTTCATGGATTCAACAACTTTCTTTGGCAATGAGTTCCACAGTCAACACTGAATATTGTGTAAACGGATAATGAAATGAAATTTTTTCATTAAATGCCATGTTAGGAGGTAAACCCAAGTTGGTTATGTTCATTTCAATTTCTGTCTGAGGAAAATTTCATTTGGCAGAATTCTGCTCCGGTGTGCAAGTTGAATCTCATCTCTGATATTGTGCTGGTTTTGGATGTGTCTGGGAGGGACACATGCACGGAGAGAAGAAGGTGAAGCTCTATAGTACTAGAAGGGAGCAGAAGATCAGAAATGAGATCTGACGTATGGATCTGTGTAAATCTGAGAGTAGAAATCTGCCCCATATTTGTTAAGCACAAACAGATAAAGTTAGCACAAATAGAAAATTCATTTTAAACTTTAAAAGAGGGTTTAAAAATAGTGAGAAATAAAATATTTTTCAAATGCACGTACAAAAAGGCTTCCAGTTCTTGTTCGGAGGCATCTAAGACTAAAAATCTGTGATCTGTGTTTGAATTTGCATAATACTAGCAATTGAAAAAAATCAAGTGTAAATAATATCTATCATATCACAACTGCTTGATTATTTCTGTTGGGCAGTTTAGCACCTTTAAAATTAGATTGGGCATTGGAATAAATCTGTGCATATAAGAAAAATCTTAGGGAAAAAAAAGGCAAGAAACTGCTAATATTCTTATTTTATATTGAGTCACCAGTTACCACTAAATTGGCATTCACTATGTAGGTCATGATTTTAGCTGTAGAAGGCATTCTGACAAATTTATATTGTTAAATACTTACTGAACAGTTAAGGGCAACTGCGGTGTACTGCAATCTGGTTACTCATGCTCTCTGTCACACTGCAGTTGTATTATGTTCTGTTCATAAAACAAAACCAAATGTTTAGGGTGATTTCCTGTCCCTTCCCATCCGCAAGCAACGTGCCTGAGACACAGAAGAACCAATGCATAATGAGGATAACAGGGTGTAGAGAGGGCAGGCTGAATGGCTGTCTCTAGATTTGAGTGGCTGTCTCAACAGCAAAGCTGAAGGGAATTTTGAGAGAGTAAACAACATGGACTGTGGATCCGCTTACAACCCAAAACTGCTCAGTGAAGAAATATGTTAGGGCTGCAGATGCTACAAGAGCTGGTAGGCCATGCTAGCACAGACACAGTTGCTTTCCTGGTACTCCAAGACCAAGAGGAGATAAGTCCATCCATTCCCCCACACGTGTATCCCCACATGTCTCTCTGGAGAGCCCTTGCAAAATGTCCATGGGCTTGGTTTTTGCACAGAGGTGAAGGATTTGGTCCTTAGTTGTTTAATGTAAATTCTGGTAGTAAAATTGTTTTCCCACCAAATTATTTTGCTTTAAAAAAATTAAACTGAAAATGTTTTTGTCTGAAGCAGTATTTTAGTTCATAGATAATAGGAACACTATGAATTTACAGTATGTCATCTAGGTATTAACATTAATATTACTTCCATTCAGGAATTCCTTTAATATACGTCATAGTGCTGTACTTTATATCTT